CTGTGTCAAAAATTTGAAGATTATCAAGGGCGGAGAATATAATACTCAGCACAAACTTAACTACCTTAAATTTCCTATTTGCCACCATAAGTCAAAACCAAATCAGTACAAAAAAGGCAAAAGAAAGGAGCTGGAAAAAAATCAAATACAGGCCAGCTGGGAAAACTATAAATCAGCATTTCTAGAAGAAGCGAAAAACGTATGTGGCTAAACACCCGGAAAACCAGCGAGAAAAAGAAGAACATGTTGGTGGAGCAAAAAAATTGGCGAAAGAGTTGAAAAGAAAAAAATTTTGTTAAAAAGTGGCAGAGGTCTGGAAAATAGGAAGACCGGGTGATATATATCGGAGGCAGAACACAGCCGTGAAACAGCTAGTTGCTGAAGCTGAAAAAGAATCCAGCCAGAAATGGTGTCGTGATCTCTCAAAAACCAGAATCGACATAAATTGTTCCGCCTTGCCAAGCAAAAGAAAATGATCAAAAGGATGCAGTTGGAGCGAAGCTCAATAAATGTGATGAAAAACTCTGAATTGTGATCAAGATGGTTACTGAAGATGGTTACTGAACGTTTAAGAGTGGAGAAAACTCACTCATATTAATTTCATTCTAACACGATCGTCGCAGAGAAGCTGTGTCAAAATATTGAAGATTATCAAGGGCGGAGAATATAATACTCAGCACAAACTTAACTACCTTAAATTTCCTATTTGCCACCATAAGTCAAAACCAAATCAGTACAAAAAAGGCAAAAGAAAGAAGCTGGAAAAAAATCAAATACAGGCCAGCTGGGAAAACTATAAATCAGCATTTCTAGAAGAAGCGAAAAACGTATGTGGCTAAACACCCGGAAAACCAGCGAGAAAAAGAAGAACATGTTGGTGGAGCAAAAAAATCGGCGAAAGAGTTGAAAAGAAAAAAATTTTGTTAAAAAGTGGCAGAGGTCTGGAAAATAGGAAGACCGGGTGATATATATCGGAGGCAGAACACAGCCGTGAAACAGCTAGTTGCTGAAGCTGAAAAAGAATCCAGCCAGAAATGGTGTCGTGATCTCTCAAAAACCAGAATCGACATAAATTGTTCCGCCTTGCCAAGCAAAAGAAAATGATCAAAAGGATGCAGTTGGAGCGAAGCTCAATAAATGTGATGAAAAACTCTGAATTGTGATCAAGATGGTTACTGAAGATGGTTACTGAACGTTTAAGAGTGGAGAAAACTCACTCATATTAATTTCATTCTAACACGATCGTCGCAGAGAAGCTGTGTCAAAAATTTGAAGATTATCAAGGGCGGAGAATATAATACTCAGCACAAACTTAACTACCTTAAATTTCCTATTTGCCACCATAAGTCAAAACCAAATCAGTACAAAAAAGGCAAAAGAAAGAAGCTGGAAAAAAATCAAATACAGGCCAGCTGGGAAAACTATAAATCAGCATTTCTAGAAGAAGCGAAAAACGTATGTGGCTAAACACCCGGAAAACCAGCGAGAAAAAGAAGAACATGGTGGTGGAGCAAAAAAATCGGCGAAAGAGTTGAAAAGAAAAAAATTTTGTTAAAAAGTGGAAGAGGTCTGGAAAATAGGAAGACCGGGTGATATATATCGGAGGCAGAACACAGTCGTGAAACAGCTAGTTGCTGAAGCTGAAAAAGAATCCAGCCAGAAATGGTGTCGTGATCTCTCAAAAACCAGAATCGACATAAATTGTTCCGCCTTGCCAAGCAAAAGAAAATGATCAAAAGGATGCAGTTGGAGCGAAGCTCAATAAATGTGATGAAAAACTCTGAATTGTGATCAAGATGGTTACTGAAGATGGTTACTGAACGTTTAAGAGTGGAGAAAACTCACTCATATTAATTTCATTCTAACACGATCGTCGCAGAGAAGCTGTGTCAAAAATTTGAAGATTATCAAGGGCGGAGAATATAATACTCAGCACAAACTTAACTACCTTAAATTTCCTATTTGCCACCATAAGTCAAAACCAAATCAGTACAAAAAAGGCAAAAGAAAGAAGCTGGAAAAAAATCAAATACAGGCCAGCTGGGAAAACTATAAATCAGCATTTCTAGAAGAAGCGAAAAACGTATGTGACTAAACACCCGGAAAACCAGCGAGAAAAAGAAGAACATGTTGGTGGAGCAAAAAAATCGGCGAAAGAGTTGAAAAGAAAAAAATTTTGTTAAAAAGTGGCAGAGGTCTGGAAAATAGGAAGACCGGGTGATATATATCGGAGGCAGAACACAGCCGTGAAACAGCTAGTTGCTGAAGCTGAAAAAGAATCCAGCCAGAAATGGTGTCGTGATCTCTCAAAAACCAGAATCGACATAAATTGTTCCGCCTTGCCAAGCAAAAGAAAATGATCAAAAGGATGCAGTTGGAGCGAAGCTCAATAAATGTGATGAAAAACTCTGAATTGTGATCAAGATGGTTACTGAAGATGGTTACTGAACGTTTAAGAGTGGAGAAAACTCACTCATATTAATTTCATTCTAACACGATCGTCGCAGAGAAGCTGTGTCAAAAATTTGAAGATTATCAAGGGCGGAGAATATAATACTCAGCACAAACTTAACTACCTTAAATTTCCTATTTGCCACCATAAGTCAAAACCAAATCAGTACAAAAAAGGCAAAAGAAAGAAGCTGGAAAAAATCAAATACAGGCCAGCTGGGAAAACTATAAATCAGCATTTCTAGAAGAAGCGAAAAACGTATGTGGCTAAACACCCGGAAAACCAGCGAGAAAAAGAAGAACATGGTGGTGGAGCAAAAAAATCGGCGAAAGAGTTGAAAAGAAAAAAATTTTGTTAAAAAGTGGAAGAGGTCTGGAAAATAGGAAGACCGGGTGATATATATCGGAGGCAGAACACAGTCGTGAAACAGCTAGTTGCTGAAGCTGAAAAAGAATCCAGCCAGAAATGGTGTCGTGATCTCTCAAAAACCAGAATCGACATAAATTGTTCCGCCTTGCCAAGCAAAAGAAAATGATCAAAAGGATGCAGTTGGAGCGAAGCTCAATAAATGTGATGAAAAACTCTGAATTGTGATCAAGATGGTTACTGAAGATGGTTACTGAACGTTTAAGAGTGGAGAAAACTCACTCATATTAATTTCATTCTAACACGATCGTCGCAGAGAAGCTGTGTCAAAAATTTGAAGATTATCAAGGGCGGAGAATATAATACTCAGCACAAACTTAACTACCTTAAATTTCCTATTTGCCACCATAAGTCAAAACCAAATCAGTACAAAAAGGCAAAAGAAAGAAGCTGGAAAAAAATCAAATACAGGCCAGCTGGGAAAACTATAAATCAGCATTTCTAGAAGAAGCGAAAAACGTATGTGGCTAAACACCCGGAAAACCAGCGAGAAAAAGAAGAACATGGTGGTGGAGCAAAAAAATCGGCGAAAGAGTTGAAAAGAAAAAAATTTTGTTAAAAAGTGGAAGAGGTCAGGAAAATAGGAAGACCGGGTGATATATATCGGAGGCAGAACACAGTCGTGAAACAGCTAGTTGCTGAAGCTGAAAAAGAATCCAGCCAGAAATGGTGTCGTGATCTCTCAAAAACCAGAATCGACATAAATTATTCCGCCTTGCCAAGCAAAAGAAAATGATCAAAAGGATGCAGTTGGAGCGAAGCTCAATAAATGTGATGAAAAACTCTGACTTGTGATCAAGATGTTCTCTCGCAGTGGCGATGCTACTTCCAAAATCTTTTTAATAAAAAAATCCATTTGAAACGGAAGATTTCCTCCCAGTGGCTGGTCCATTGGAGGAGTTTGTTATGCAGTAAGTGACACTTGCACTAAGAGAGATGAAAAATAGTAAAAGCCCAGGACTAATTTCGGATAAAATTTGCCACGCCACTTAACCCATCCTTTTTAATAATAGAGTACTGTAAGAAGAGGTTACAAGAAACTCGTTCCATGGTACCATTGGATATGCTGTATGCAAATGACCTTGTAATATCAGCTCAAACGGAATTCCAGTCTATTGAGAAGTTTCATACTTGGAACAAAGCTTTGCAAAAACGCGGTTTGAAAATCATCGTGGACAAGACAAAGCATTTTATTTCCGGCCAAAAGTCTGTTACTCGAAAAACCGGAAACAATCGATGCATTCGTTGTTTGACCTGGAAAATACCTAAATACTAATTATGTTTGTCCAAGACGCAATAATCCTCCCAATTATCACAAATCAGAATGCTACTCTACGAATTAATCAATTTGAAACCCTAAGTACTGTCAAAGAATTCTGCTATCTGGGTGATATGATTGACTTTGAAAGTGACGCAATACGTGCATCCTCGGTCAGAACAGCAGCTTTTTGGACGAAATGGCGGCAAATTGCGTCTCTACTGCTGAATTAAATATTGACTTCATTACAAGGTGCCACATCCATCTATTGAGCTTGTCTCCGGCCAGTTCCGATGTACTGCTCTGATACCTGGCCGCAGGCCAAACCAATGTCTAGCTCTCTTAAGAGTGCTAATGTGATAGCTCTGCGTAGGATTACCAGAGTCACTTATAACGACAGAGTTACCAACGATGCAATAATTAAAATGACAGGTCTGGAAAAGCTACAAGTGCGGTCTCGGATACGATTGTACGGCCATGTTCACCGATGAGAAAATGACCATGCGCTAAAATCAACAGACCATGTTTCATTCCCAGGGAAAAGATAAGCAGGAAGGCATAAAAAACGCTGGATCGACTGTGTTGAACGAGACCTTCGGTCTCAAATCCAAACTGTCATGATCGAATGGCATGGGAAAACGTTTCAGCCTACATTTGCTACCTTGAATGCTATTGAGAATGACCTCATCTGAACCATTGCTTACGCGGTTTCCAGATGTCCAGCCCCGCCATAAGGGGAAAACGGACAAATAAACGCTTTAGTAGTAGTTTAATCTTCGAAAACAAAATCATCAAGACTATAAGAGAAAATCGCTTCGTTCTTTTGAACTTGTACTAAAAAAACTCTGTACTAATGTCAGATACCTTGGTTTTGTATCCTTGCCATACATGTAACATCTTCAACCTGCTATCTAAACTGTTTCCACTTGAATCCACCTCTTGAGAGGCCAGCCTCGAATTCCAGACTAACAAATAGCCACCTCCAGATGCAATTGCCAGCCAAGTTTTGGAAACAGGCGAAACATCCATGTCAAACACGGATCCTCCGATGGTAGTGATGATCGAAATGTTCTTCATGCTAGAGATATCCCACATGCATAGATATCGGTCCATGCCATGGGTGAAAACCAGATCTTTATTTGCAGTTATGGACTGAATCGCTCTGTTATGGCCACCTTCAGATGACTCGTCTGCAACTTTGAAATCAACAAAAACTCTTCTGTCATTATTTACAGAGCCTTCTGAATTCACCAGTCCTTTTTCTAAATTAAATTTAATGTTCCAAGCTATGAGCTCCCCAGTTAAGGAGCTCGTGAGAACATTGGCTCTTTGCACCCAGTTCGCAATAAAGAACAATTTGCTACTGCCATGTTCTGAGTCATTTCTCGGCTTTTTAGACCCCGGTTTTCCTGGAAGTCGTTTATAAAACAGGGACCTAGTTTCGTTAGATGTCAGGTCTCCCGATGTTTTCACGTGGTAAAACCGAAGTAGTCTGTCAGCCGAGGAACTGACTAGGTTTGGAATCCATGTCATTTGCAACTCCTCTTTTCTAAAAGCAATTTTACTTTTCTTAGCTGAAAATATGAACTTGTTTGCAATTTGATTGGATGATGTATTTTAAAAATATCCTGCAACTTTAAGGAATTTTGAACATGAGATTTTCATACGGAAACTCGCTATTTTTCACGTTCTCTTTTATCGTGGTAGTATCCCTGGCCTAATTGACTTCTAATGAAAGAACAGACCTCAGATCAGGGCACCAGCTTAGACTTTCAATTTTTTCGTCAGCAGATCTCAGCTTGCAGACTACGTCGAGATTTGCATGGCTTGTGTCAAATAGCACTAACATTCCCCCTTGGTAGCCAGCAGCCAATAGATGAGGATTTTGACATCCAGGTGCAAACTGCAGGCATGTTACTGCTCTGTTATCGCAACTTCTGTATTGAAAATTCCGATTTTCTAATGAGAACAAAATAACTGCTCCTATAACAACAAATATTTTATCTAAAGTGATAAACTCACTTACTAGCTGTTAATTAAGAAAAATTAACCCTTGAAATCTCCAGATGCGGTAAACGAACGCTCAACTTCTTGTTTGTCCAATAATTTCCACGCTAAGGCCGATAACTTATGCTTGTGACAGCTATGCTGATACATCAACTTGACTTCGTTAATCTGAATATTCCACACTCTCAGGAACCCCTCTTCCCCTATTGTCGAAATGTAACCGACTGAGTTTCCCTCCGTAACTGCGGTTTTCGCACATCTGATAGCAAGAACCTTATCTTTGTGCGCATCGAACTGTAGCAAGAACTTTAGTTGTTTTGGAAATTCTTTGAGAATTTCAAAAACTACAACTCTATTTCGTGCAGCATAAGTGTAGATATTTTCAGAACAATCTGAGATCTGAGGATGATTCCAGTTAGTCGAAGGGGGAAAAACAAATTCATTCATAGCTACAACCTTGAAGCAGAAACGAAAAAAATATATTAAAGGTAGCTAATCAGGAATCAGGAAATTACAACTACAGTTATGAAGAAAAACATTTTGCTACGATTGCTTTTGACGGGAAAAGAGAAGATTTTATCGGATACGTTGATATTGTAAAATGAACTGAAGTTTTCGCACATTTTAAGGGAATCTTACGGTTTATAAGGCTGCTACGTCAGCTTGACTTCGTTTATCTGAACATTGCACACTCTCAGGAACCCCTCTTTCCCTTTTATCGAAATGTAACCGACTGAGTTTCCATCCGTAAATGCGGTTTTACGACATATTACATTTTGTGTTTGAATGAAGTTTTGTTTCCACATACTTAAATTTCAGTTATTAAAATTTCTGATACTGTAGTCAATTTGGGAGATCAAGTGATTGTTGTTGTTGTGAATTTTCAGTAGGATACTGATGGGATGATACTGATTGGGAATGATTTTTATGTGTATCATCAAGATTATATGGTGAGAAAAACATTTCAAGTGAAACTTTATCAAATACGTGAAAATTATAAATTAAACGAACGTTTTCGTACAATTTTACAGCATCTTCGTGTTGGGTTTAAAAATCAGCAAAAAACTTATTGGCACAGTCGAACCCACCGATGCACACGAAAATGGACGACTAAGGCGTTATCAGTGAATTCGTAATGAAAAGGAGGCTCAGAATATTCTAGAATTAAAATTTTCAAAAATTCGATTTGGGCCAGGATATTTCGGAGCAATGTGAAAACGGCCATTTTGTCCAAAAAAGCGATATCGGTTTCAAAAGTTTTAGAATAAAATGTTTTTTCTCACTTTGAAAAGAGATAATCCCGGAATTCTCATTATTTGTTCAATGTTTATAAACATTCTCATTTTTTCACTATTATGGGATTTCACTTCAAGATAGAGCACATCATGATAGAGCACATCAGCCGTCTAACACTCACGGAGGTGCCCTGATTGCCATTAAGAACTCACTAAATTCCCAAAAAATAAAACTCGACGTCGATTGTTGTCCTATGTAACATAACCCTAGCCAACGAAACCATCTATATCTCCTCCTTTTACAACCCCCCTAGAGCCAGTCAATACAGATATGACTACCAATGTTTCAACAAAATTCTCGAAGCCATCCCTAAAAAGAGTAAAGCAGTCATATGCGGAGACATTAACTTTCCATCTACAAACTGGGACATCTTCAGCAGTCAAGAAAACGATGAACAAGAAATCCTAGAAATGTTAGAAGTTAGGCTTCTTCGACAGAGCATTAAGTTTCCGATCTGCGGCACAAACACGTTGGACGTTTTTCTGTATCAAAACTGTCAAGTATACTCTGAACACGACGAAAAATTGATAAGATTTATAACTGCTCTGATCATATTGCAATCAGAACAGCAATAGAACTTGAAAACTTCGATCCTCCCCCAGCAATGACAAACTTCTACAGTTTTGGGTCAGGATATTATGACCGGATTGTTGGTGCCATGAAAGATCGGCCCTTCAACCCCCAATGCTACACCAATGTTGACAATATGTAAAACGAACTTCAAGACTACTTAACCGATTTGATAGACACTCACATTCCAAAAAGAACCGAATATCGTCAATCGCTACCACCTTGGATTACACCGAGTACATCACATCAGATGAAAATGCTCAACACGCAAAAGAGGTTACTCGAAAAACGACCAACTAGCTACCGAAAAAATAAGGTCCTCAAACTAGAAAGCCAAATCACTGAATTATGTGAACATGATCGAACCTCATACCAAGAAAAAAATGTTGGTTCAAGAAATTGTGGTCAAATTTACAAGCACCTTAAGCATATCAATAGAGCTTCGAACATCCCGAAACTGATCATGTTCAAAGACAAAAAGACATCAATTCCAGAAGAAAAGGTAGAAATGTTTAACACATTTTTTCACTCAGTGTTTTCAGCCAAAGAGAACTACAACTTCCTTGACATAAAGTGCGAATCAGCTAACAAACTTCAGCGTTTCAAACAAAACAATAAGTAAAATTCTGGCAAATATAGACACTACAAAAATTCGTGGACCAAATGGTCTACCTCCCGGGTTTTACCAACGATGCGGCAAACAAATGAGTAATATACTCAATAAGCTTTTCAAGAATATTAAACGCATACGCAAAATGCCAACCAGTTGGAAAACAGTGGCTGTAATACCCATTCACAAAAAGAACGACCCAAAAGATGTTGAAAACTAGCGCCCAATCTCCCTTCTAAACATTGACAGCAAAATCTTTGAAAAATGCATGTACTCTCCACTCTACGAGCACTTTGAAGACCATCTTTCCATAAACCAACACGGTTTTATGAAGAAACGCTCCGTTATGAGCAACATGCTCCAATTCCTAAATCGAATATTCAAAGCCCTGGATGAAAACCCCCATGATGAGATCATTGCTTTTTATGCTGATTTCTCCAAGGCCTTCGATAAAGTCCCCCACAAATTATTACTTCGAAAATTGAGTGATATTTGTGTAGGTGGATGCCTACTCGAAATCATCTACGACTATCTCAGAAACCAAAGCCAATTTGTTCGGGTTGATTTCTACACATCCACCGTCCTTGAAATGACCAGCGGGGTGCCCCAAGGTTCACTCCTGGGCCCACTCCTGTTGTGTTTTTATAAATGATCTCTCTGAAGTCCTACGCTTCAGTGACCCCTCAATATTTGCTGACGATCTACAAATTCTATCTGTTGGACGCAATTTAGATGAAATACAACTTGACTTAAACAAAATCGAAGATTGGGTTAGACAAAACAACATGGAACTGGCATTCGAAAAATGCGCTCAAATAAACTTCAGAGGTGTTGATATAAATCTATTTTTGAACGGAAATCGTGTACCTCAGCCAAAATCTAGAAAAATCTAGGTATTCACATGTTAGGAGATCTTAGTTGGAGCACTCATCTAACCGAACGATTAAAAAAAGCGAACAAATTACTATACGTTCTAAGACGAAATGTAGCATATAACGTCAACACCTTTGTAAAACTAGGTCCGTACAAATCAACATTACTGGCAATCCTAATCTACGGCTGTCACTGTGCAAACTTTCTGAGCAAAGACCTACAAAAACTTGAATTTTTTCAAAAGAAAGTTGTAAAGTGGATATGTGGAAAACACTGCCAAAAATACACTGATCAACTTAGAATGCTCAACATTTTACCTCTGCAACGTTCCTACAGACCAATGACTTATTTTTGCTTTCAAAACTCTGCATTGACTAAGAACAACGGAGCATCCCACTTCCCACAGCCAACAATACCCTAGACCGACGATTAGAGCCCTTCAAATTACCCAAAACTCGAACAGAAAAACGCAGGGGAGAATTCGTTTTTCGTACAACCAGAGTTGCAAAAAGAATTGATCATTTAGTCAATTTCAGGATAGAACAGGGACTCAAACAGCGCATCACAACTCTTATGTGGAAATTCTACAGTGAAAAATACAGTACCCTCAACCTCTGCACTTGGCAGATATGCTGCGACTGCACAACGTGCAAAAATAACTGGACAATATTATAAACTCTGTGGAAGAAATTCACACCAGTATTGTACTGGAAAGCCACAACAACAACAACAACAACAAGGCCAAAGAAAAATCAAAAAAGCTAATTTTTTACTACTCTAGATCCGGATGAAAACATAATATCTCTTGATGTGAAAAGTTTGTACACCAACGTTCCCGTGAAGGAAGCAATTGAAATTGCTTTACAGAAGCTGTACAGCCAGGAGTCTCCTCCTGAAATTCAAAGAGCAACCATGGAAAGGCTTTTGAATATGGCGGTCAGCAAAGTATGTTTCAAGTGTAATGATTCATAGTATGTACAAGTTGATGGTTTGGCAATGGGTGCGTCCCTAGCTGTAATTCTGGCAAACATATGGCTGAAAAAGTACGAGTTTGCTCTAAGACAAGAAATACCGGTGGGAACGGAGGTACAGCAAATTGATGACAAAAACGGCTTGTGCCCATAATGCAGCAGAAAAGTAACAATTATTTCAAAGGGGGTTGAATGCGAGAGTTGCCGAAACTGGTATAATCTAAAATACGGAAAAATGTCCGATGACGTTTACGCATCAATAACCGAGATAGTCTGGTACTGTGATAGCTGCTGCCCAGCCGAGAACAAGGAGAAGGATACTCCCCAGGTGAAACTGTTCCTCAGGTATGTGGATGACATTGTTAGAACAGTCAGAGGGGAGCCGAGTTGTCTTTTCGATGCCGCCAATTCTCTTCATCAAAATTTGCAGTTCACTCTAGAAAAAACTAATTCGGAAGGTAATTTGCCGTTCCTGGATTTGAACATATATGTATCGCAGGCTGGCTTGTAACTTGCAGTTGGTATCAAAAACCAACATATACAGGGACTATACTGAACTATAGAAGCTGCGCCCCAACTCAGTATAAGCGTAGTGTTATCCAAGGCACTGTACACAGGGTTTTTAGGAGTACATCTAGCTGGGAGCAATTTGATAAGGCTATGGAAATTAATAGGGCGCAATGGCTGACAAATCAGTACCCTGAAAATTGGTCCGCAAAGGTGGCTTCAGATGCCTTGTGCAAGATCATCGACGGTAAGTGCAAGCCCCTGGATAGTGAGAGGTGTTTGTCAGTTCAATCACCAAAGGATGGGAAGCCCCCAATGCTGATGGTGCAATATAGAAGTAAACAGAGCCAATGATTGGTAACAGGTTAAAAAAATTAACTAACGTTCAAGTGGTTTTCACAACAAGAAAACTAGAATCATTTTTACCATCACTGAAGTCAGAGTTTTCTAACGACCTCAAGTCAAGAGTGGTTTATAAAGTGTACTGTAGTGGATGCACTTCCACCTATGTCCGACAAACTGTTCGACATTTGACCACTAGAATTGAGGAACACAAGAAAGCAGACTCACCGGTAGGCCTCCACCTTCAGCAATGCCAACTTGAGGGAAATAGCGCAGATCTTAG